TTTTCAGAGCTTGAAATGAAATATGTGGCACCAAATTTTTCATTCTTAAACTTGAATTCCCTGATTGTCTAGTTACTTGCATTAGTTTTTATTCCCAGCTAATTGAATGATAAATGAAATCATTAATACATTGGATCCATTTTATGAATTCTTGTGCATGTTCGGAGTTTGCTTCCACAGTAATGAATGTATTGATAATTTGCAAAAACGTAAAATTCTAGCCTTTGAAATTTCCACCATGGCTTACCACAACATCTTAGCACTAATATCCTTTTCTGTACTACACCAAAAACATTTTTCTATTTTTTTTAAAAGGTTCTTGACTGAAGAGACGCCCCATGTATAAAGAATACACTTGTTTCTTTTTTTCACAATACAAACAAAATCTTAACCATACTGAACAAAAAAAAAAGGGGCGGTCGGGTAGCCTAGTGGTTAAAGCGTTCGCTCGTCACGCCGAAGACCCGGGTTCGATTCCCGACATGGGTACAATGTGTGAAGCCCATTTCTGATGTCCCCCGCCGTGATATTGCTTGAATATTGCTAAAAGCGGCGTAAAACATACTCACTCACTCACTCACTCACTCACTCACTCACTCACTCACTCACTCACTCACTCACTCACTGAACAAAAAAAAGTTAGTAACCATAAATATTTTTTGGGATATGTTATTGTTGTGAAGACGAGGCACACAATTTCATACAAATATCCCCCAAAATATTCATCATCACTATAAACTTGTTTTGTTCAGTATTATTAAGAAAGTAACAAATATTAGAATTATGCTTGGAGCTCTTCATTCTCCAGATACTAGTGAAGATCTTGGGTAGAATAGGTCTTCAGCAACCTATGCTTGCCATAAAAGGCGACTATGCATGTCATAAGAGGCAACTAACAGGATCAGATGGTCAGGCTCGCTGACCTGGTTGATGCATGTCATCGTATCCCAATTGCATGATGTCATTCACTGGATTGTCTGGTCCAGACTCAATTATTTACAGACCGCCGTCATATCGCAGGAATATTGCAGAGTGCGGTGTTAAACAACAAACAAACAAACAAGTCATTCTCCAGGCACAATGTTCAGAAGAAGTAGTTTTAACATCTCTTTTGAGTTTTGTCAGATATGGAAAAACAAATATAAAACAAAACATATATATGGCATTATTACTTTTTGCCTTTCAACATTGCAAGGGGCTCAGCAAAAGTGAGAAATAAAATCTGTTTTACCATGGCATTAAAATTTGGCAGCTCAAACACTGCCTGAAACCATTTTGAAGGGTGAACCAGTGACATGTTTGTCTTACTCTGAGAAGAGCCAGATAGTCTGGAGAAATCTATGTACATACAAACTTGTGACATCACTATTCTTAGTGTGCATCCTTGGATGGGAAGGAATGTGTTCAGTGTTATATAAAACACACATTTGTGGTTGTAAACATTCTTGTAATGATTGAGTATGAGGATGAATGTTTTGAGGAACTGTATGAAAATATAAAGTTGATGAAATAATCTGTCACTAAGCAGACCTAACACTCTTGACATGTTCTTGACATACCACCTGACATGTGTTTGGCACACCACTGACATGATGTTCTTGGCATACCCCTGATAGGATGTTCTTTGCAGACCCCTTGATAGGATGTTCTTGGCATACCACCTGACATGTTTTTGGCACACCACTGACATGATGTTCTTGGCATACCCCTGACAGGATGTTCTTGGCATACCCCTTGATAGGATGTTTTTGGCTTACCCCTGATAGAATGTTCTTTGCATACCCCTGATAGGATGTTCTTGGTATACCCCTTGATAGGATGTTCTTGGCATACCCCTTGATAAGATGTTCTTGGCATACCCCTTGATAGGATGTTCTTGGCATGATTTTCTTGGCATACCCCTTGATAAGATGTTCTTGGCATACCCCTTGATAGGATGTTCTTGGCATACCCCTGACATGATATTTTTGGCATACCCATTGATATGGTGTTCTTGTCATACCCCTTGATAGGATGTTCTTGGCATACCCCTGACAGGACATTCTTGGCATACTCCTTGATAGGATGTTCTTTGCATACTCCTTGATATGTTCTTGGCATACCCCTGACCTGATGTTCTTGACGTAGCCCTTAATATGAAGTCCTTAGCATACTCTCTTGGCATTTTCTTCTTTGATCCCCTTGTTGAAATGCCCCTTGACCATATGCTCTTTACATCCCCCTGGAAATTTCAGACTTACTGTCTTCAGTGATGGTTTTTCTGATCATAGCATGGTATGCAATATCATCATATTAAACCTTTTGCCTTTGGGAAATAGAACTGGACTTCATATGGAATCACTTAATAAGGTTGCTGTAGCACAAAGATCACTTGTGGAGTGGGATCCGAGGCTTAGTGCATGATAAACAAACATGCTCCACCTTTGGCATCGCCAGTCATTCCCAGTCTTGTATATGCTATGTTTCTCCATCACCTGTAAATATATACATGTCTCTTTCCATCAGGTATTGAAATGAATCCATGAAGAAGTCCCAGGTGTTAAATGAACCCTTTGTGCAAGCCCAACCATCGTCTGTCGTTTTAAGCAATGTGCTAGGTTGATGACCACAAAACTATGGCACAGGGTGCACAAGAAACATTTCCGATGTTACTCTAAGCGCTCGCTGGCTCTCTGGTTTCCCTTCCACTTGAACCAGGCCGTGGTTGATTCCTTGGTTAACAATTGCAACTACATCCCAAAGTGTTTATGCAGGAGTGTAGTGTATGCAGGACAATGAAATATTCATGATGTCGCTTCGGCTGCAAGGGTGGTTTGGAGCCACCAGGAAACGGTTTTCTGCTCTGAACTTTGCAAATTTTATAAAAGTCAGGTAAAAATTGATTGAAAAATGCTTATTTTCCAGGTGAAACCTTCTCCCCTAGTTCTCTAATATCTCCCCTATATTAGGTTAGATCATATAGATGTAGGTAACTGAGTGAGTATGGTTTTACGCCACTTTTAGCAATTTTTCAGCAATATCACGATGGTTGTCCCCAGAAATGGCCTTCACACATTGTACCCATGTTGGGTCGTACCCGGGTCTTCAGCATGAGTAGGTGACTGAGAACTGTGTTGTGATTTCACTTGAACTGTTTGAGTTTTGAGGTGTCTTTTTTATGCCTTGAAAATAAGACCCAACTGTTGCTGCATCTTGATATTTGTTCGTCATGGGGATTTACAAAATATGTGAAATATGTAACAGACATTACTCTGAATTATTGGTGGATTGTCATAGCACCACCTTTTTTTATTCTGATATTTTAGAAACTTGTATAATGAATTAGAAAAATTAATGCGTGTTGTCTGTAGAGCTACTGTCCAACTGTATTTAAACAAAGTTCCTAATAACAACATATAAGAGCTTTTAATGTGTTGTTTCTACTAAACATTTATGATCTCAATAACTTCAGTAACTGCGTACTCTCTTCTGATTAATTATTGAAAGCAAATTAATCATGTTTTCCAGCTGCTTTGGTGTTAATATATGCTGTCTACCTAGAATTTAAGTGTATAATTTACTTTCATTAATGTCCTAATTTTGCAAGTTTTTGTCTTGCACATTTTTATGTGTGAAAACTGTGTGTAGATAACCACTAAACTCTCTGTGGAAATTGTGTGTCGGAATCAGGTTGTGCCATGCATCACTTTGCAGGGTCTACGTTTACTGTTACGTTGTTTCAGACATTGGGCTCTTCACTTCAGTACATATTATTTATATATTTGTACAGACTATTTATTTATATATATTTGTTTAATTTAAAAGTTTAAATTGTCAAGTAGAAAGTTCACCATCAATGAATAGAATTGATGTGGGATAGTGGACAGAATTGATGTGGGATAGTGAACAGATGTGATGTGGGATAGTGAACAGGGTTGATGTGGGATAGTGAACAGAATTGATGTGGGTTGGTGAACAGGATTGATGTGGGATAGTGAACAGATTTGATGGGAGATAGTGAACAGATTTGATGGGAGATAGTGAACAGATTTGATATGGGATAGTGAACAGATTTGATGTGGGATAGTGAACAGAACTGTTGTGGGATAGTGAACAGATTTGATGTTGGATAGTGGACAGGATTGATGTGGGATAGTGAACAGATGTGATGTGGGATAGTGAACAGATTTGATGTGGGATAGTGAACAGATTTGATGTAGGATAGTGAACAGAACGTATGTGGGATAGTGAACAGAATTGATGTAGGATAGTGAACAGAATTGATGTGGGATACTGAACAGAACGTATGTGGGATACTGAACAGAATTGATTGTTGGATAGTGAACAGAATTGATGTGGGATAGTGAACAGAATTGATGTGGGATAGTAAACAGAATTGATGTGGGATAGTAAACAGAATTGATGTGGAATAGTAAACAGAATTGATGTGGGATAGTAAACAGAAATGAAAGAAACGGGGAATTCTCTGAAACAGTTATTGGGTACACTTACTGTATTGGATTTGTTTCTATATACTTTGATCATGCTGAACATGTGAGTAGAGATATGGAAATTGCTAATATTGCAAACCAATCTTTTACTGACCATTTATTGACAAATCAGATTGATTATTTATGTAGTTATGTCCCCAGGATTAATATTCAATTTTGAGATTAAAAACCATCGGAATAGTTGAATATGAAGGTAGTATATCATTACACTGTGAGACCTCATTAATTTGAACTGTTTTATCATTAAACGTTTTGGTCCCCCAAGATTCCTTAACATCACGTTAAGAATATATACTCCTCAACTTTTGATAGGGAAAGTCAGTTTTGTGTATCATGGAATGATAACATTATCCCTGTCAAATGTTGAGTAGTATATATCAGTATTGTGCTTGTGGAATATGGAAAAATCAGCAAATCTTCTATGGCCCATGACTTTGAATTAAAGAGGTTTCACTGTATAAGGATGAACTGCTTTGAAGCCTTTTTTTGGCAGTTGTTGCTTTATTTCAGGCCAAAGATGTTGGCAAATATGCTTTAATAGGAGCAGCAGCCCAGCTAGGCGGCATCCTCCGTACAACGATCAGTCTGACTGTCATCATTGTGGAGTGTACTGGAGACATATCCTTCGGTCTCTGTATCATGCTGGCCTTGATGATCTCCAAGTGGGTGGGAGATTTCTTTACAACTGTGAGTGTGTGACGGCAGCTCTCCAGTAGAAATCTCCATTAAAATCAGATCTTTTCTTTGATACGATACCTGTCTGCATGAAGATGTGTCAAATCTGTCCATAGGTCACGTCAGGTGAACTTTGTAATCAGCTAATCAGGGTCGAATCTTCTAAATTATTTGTGACTTGAAAACAAATATAATCAGGCAGTTCCGAATGGAAAATGATAAAGGCTGCACTGTTTTGTTGTGGATATTTTATACCTTTCTGAATGCTATGGTATCTACACCAAAGATGTTGTACTATTGTGGGAATATATGTATTCTGTTTGGCTTTTTTCACTCAGGATTCGCCTGACACATAGATCTTCAAGCATAGACGTATCATTATAGAGTAGCTGTCAATTATATATTTAGACATAAAGGCCTTTCAGGACATGTACATCAAATTCAGTACTACATACTGTATGGATCAGATTTACAAGTCAGAATACACTGATGTAGATTACAATTTTAGGGTACGAACAATTCATTTGTCTTGTTTTAATTTTTTGAATTTCTTGTTAAAAATAATAGTGTGAGCTGCCTGAAGTTCTCTCCCTTTGTTGATGCATTGTTTATGTCTTCAGGGTTTGTATGACATGAATGTGGAAGTGAGTGGCATCCCCCTCCTTGTGTCCGAGCCCCCGCCTCTCTGTGATCACGTCAAGGCCAGGTTAGTAGTTGAATGCACATTATCACAAATCATGCCAAGGGTGGTTGAACGTTCTGAGTCTAACTTTGATGGACTTGAATAGTCACTTCATCAATTTTATGCCTGCAGAAATATGTATCCTGGTTGCATATTTGGTTCAAAATATGTGCAAACTGTTGAGGGATTAATAAACATAAATGTATTTAGGTTCAGGACTTTTCAGCCAGCCCTTGTGTATACATCTTGTCATGGTAGAGTGTTTCTGTTCATCCCACTGGGATTCCCAGCCGAATTGGCCATTGTACCTCTTGCTTGAAGAAAATGGTGTTCTGATGTGTTTGTTCTCCACAGTGAGGTGATGAGCCATCCCGTGCTATCATTCCAGCCTTTGGAGACTGTAGGCAATATTATAGATGTCCTGGCCACGGAGACATTCTGTGGCTTCCCTGTCATCGAATTGGACCCCAAGGTCAGTGATTCTGTGATGTAAACAATCACCAGATGCAATATTTGTGACCTTTAGTCACTATCCCCTTCTAGAACCTCATTTTAGAACACTGTCTCCATGATAAGACCACCATCCTCTGCCAGAAACCTATTCCATGATAAGACCACCATCCTCTACCAGAACCCAATTCCATGATAAGACCACCATCCTCTGCCAGAACCCAATTCCATGATAAGACCACCATCCCCTGCCAAAACCCATCCATAAATCACACTGATCCCTACCGGAACCTTATCCCAGACCACCATCCTCTACCAGAACCCAATTCCATGATAAGACCACCATCCCCTGCCAGAACCCAATTCCATGATAAGACCACCATCCTCTACCAGAACCCAATTCAATGATAAGACCACCATCCCCTGCCAGAACCCAATTCCATGATAAGACCACCATCCCCTGCCAGAACCCAATTCCATGATAAGACCACCATCTCCTGCCAGAACCCATCCATAAGACCACACCGATCCCTACCAGAGCCTAAGCCCAGACCACCATCCCCTGCCAGAACCTGATCCCATGATCAGAACAGTCCCCTGCAAGAACCCAATTCCATGATAAGACCACCATCCCCTGCCAGAACCCAATTCCAAGATAAGACCACCTTCCTCTGCCAGAACCTGATCCCATGATCAGAACAGTCCCCTACCAGAACCTGATCCTCATCTCCTACCAGTTCTGTGTGACTACAAAGCTTCCCCCCCACACACACACACACAAACACACACACACACACACACACACACACACTGTGTTGGTAACAACTACCCCGGGGTGTCTGCAAGGATCAATGTGCTTGTAATGTGCATTTGTCACTAAAGGAACTATACAGGTCCCCTTTCGTTCATTTTCAGTAACTGGAACCAATCTACTTGATATGTAATTCCCACCATGTGATCATTTGGTTATTACTACCTTTCATTTCAGAATCTACGTCATGGAAAATTAAAAGGACTCATTCTACAGAACCAATTGTTAACATTGTTGAAAAAGAAGGTAAATTGACAGTTTGCACTGTTGACAATAACCATGTATGTAATTGACAGGTTGCACTATTGACCATGAACATTTATATAATTGACAGTTTGCACTATTGACAATAACCATTTATATAATTGACAGTTTGCACTATTGACTATAAACATTTTTATAATTGACAGTTTGCACTATTTATATGTATATATATTGACTATAAACATTTATATAATTGACAGTTTGCACTATTGACAATAACCATTTGTATCACTGAAAGCCTGCACATTTATATTTTACTATTTCTGTCATTGACACTCTGCACTATTAACCATACCTTTAAATATCATTGACTGCTTCCACTGTTGACTATTACTAGTTATATTATGACATCTTATACTATGACTATACCTATTTATGTCATTGACAGGTTGACTATTGACTATAACCATTATCCAATTGATTGTCAACATATTCCTATGATATATTTTACCACCTTCCAGTATACAATATATATTGTATAATTGACTTCTTGTTGCACATGCGACATGTACCATTGGCCAGTTGTACATTTTACCAATCACAACTTAAATCAATAACTTCTTTATGAACCTGCTGACCCAAAGCAATGAAATGTGAGAGAAAATAAATAAGTGAACAGCAGTGTTGATTTCATTCCGCCAAATAAGTAAAAGGTTATAAAGATGAACTAATTTTCTGTTGCTCTCCATACAAAAAACATATTAGATTACTATAAGTAAAACCTGTTGAAAAATCTTCAAATCTGCAAAAGACAACAAATTATGAGGAATCACGATAGGAAACAGAAAAATATATTGGAAATTGGATATATTCAAACTGACTTTTCGACCTTACTTTTTCAAAATAATGCAAACAAAATAATGTTATTACTGACCACTTTTGCTAAAGAGCAGTTGTCATCCATGTTAGGACTATGCTATGGCTATGTGCATGATGCATGTCATCGTATCCAAGTTGCATAGATCGATGCTCAGGATCTCAATCACTGGATTGTCTGGCCCAGACTCGATTACTTACAGACCCCCCGTCATATAGCTGGAATATTACTGAGTGCGGCATTAAACAACACACAAACAAGGACAAGTTTAAGTTAGGATACGGACCTACTGTTAATTAAATGTTTATGCAGTGTATGAAATAGACATTTAGGATATTTTTTAATAGGAAAATCCCATGTCAGTAGCCATCAATACATTTCAAATCTAAAGGTAATAAAAAAGGTTCTGGATGATTATCATTTGTTTGAAAAGCATTGAATTTACTACAAACCTCTATTCCTGTTTAGGGGCGGTCGGGTAGCCTAGTGGTTAAAGCGTTCGCTCGTCACGCTGAAGACCCGGGTTCGATTCCCGACATGGGTACAATGTGTGGAGCCCATTTCCTGTGTCCCCCGCCGTGATATTGCTGGAATATTGCTAAAAGCTGGGTAAAAACCATACTCACTCACTCACTATTCCTTTTATTGTTTTATTAGATCTTTGCCCCGGAAGGAATGTTGCCGCCATCTGATGTCACGATGTCAGACTTCGATGATCCTTACCCAGTTGAGCTAACCAAAATAGAGGTACACATTTCCACTGTCAACGGATTGACATTTCTTAAATATGAGTGTTTTATTATTCCTCATAACTCAGGATGTTTCTTGAAACGAGTTAAGATCATTATATATTTGGTCTGAAGTCCACTGTCATGTCATCACACATTGTCCATCTATTGTTGTAGAATGTTTACAGTTTACATTTCTGTGTGGGAAACTGCTTGAATTGACTGACGTGTAACCACAGAAAGGTATAATTCAATGTCATTAAAATCAGATCTTAGTTCTCGCTACCGCTAAACAAAGATTTGAGGATGTAGTCTTTAGGGCTTGGACGAGTCCAAATTTACTACCCGGGTACCCACCCCCTAGTAACAGACCCTACCCGGGTACCAGCTGTAAGGCTCAAGAGTTGTGTACATTCTTCCGATTGACTGTTTGATCGGAGCCCTGATCGTGCATACACTGAAGTTTACTGAAGTTTATATTTATTCAAACATAAAAGTCAGAAGGAATGGGTGCATAGTCAGAAAGAAATGCGAACATTAGTGACTTGTAGTGTAACCATATAGTTCTAGATAATTTTTGTCATTAACAATATATCACGTGATTAACCATGAATTCGGGTATTCCTGTTCGTACTCGATCCTACTCAGGACCCACCCGAAGCGAGAACCTGAGTTACCTACCCAGTCCTAGTAGTCTTGAATATAAATCGCCACTTTGAAACTTGTACTGTATAGCTCGAGAAAGCTGCTTTCTGGTTGGTTAATGCTGACTTCTTAAAAGTCATTTCATTGGCCATTCAAAGTTTGGAAAAGGAAGTTCTCCTGTGACCTTTAATGAGATGTCCTCAGTGCAGCAACCACTACAATCTGTTTTTAATGAGATAAGGGCGAAGTTTTTCAAGGCATCAGAATTTGAAATTTAATGCTATGTATAGATTCAACCAAATTGGATCAGATTTATGTCAGAGTGTAAGTTTGTCAATGTTTGTGTCAGTATTGGGGTTTGAGACTGGGATGAGGAGAATTTGGTTGGAGGCAGAATATCTTTCAGTCAATGCTTCAAGACAAACCATTGCTTCTCTGAAAGGAAGGAGTCAAACAATTTGTTTTACATCCACAACAGATTATTATTCACAACATCCAGTGAATGAATATTTTTTAGGATAGCTATGCTTTTCCAGCATTTTCAGGAAACAGATTTGTAATTTCCAAAAATGACTGTTTTCAGGAAATTGAGGCCAACATTTCTGAGGAAGAGAGAGATTACCTCGTAGATCTCCGGCCATTCATGAATAAAACTCCCTACACTGTTGGGCCGGTGAGTTAGCAGTGAATCATCAGTTACCAGCAAGTCACTGACCCTATCTGCCTGTCTAGAATCTACTTAAGCAGACTGCCTCTGTGGTCTAGTGGTAGAGCGTCCGCCCGGAGAGCGGAAGGTCCAGGGTTCGATCCCCAGCCGCGTCATACCAAAAGACGTTAAAAGATGGTACTTGTTGTTACCCTGTCTGGCGCTCGGCATTAAAGGGCTAAAACAAGGACTGGTCGGCTCGGAGTCAGTATACTGTGTCTGAGTGGGGTATTCATGTTAAACTGCGGCATGGTATCTCAGTGTGCTAGCACTAAAAATCGGCATCAGTCCGGACTAATACAAGCAGCCACACACACACGTGCATGCACGTTGCTATATAAGTGCAAAAATCTTGGATGCGACGTTAAACCCCATTTCACCTCACCTCTACTTAAGCAACATGACTGATTCCAACGTGTACCATATTTGTTGTATTAAGCGCCCTGTCCCAATAACACTCCGTAACTAACTTTTAGACCAATCTGTAAGTCATTATTATAAGGGCTTCTACTAAGACTGAATATGTACATGACAGTCCATATGTTCTTGGGTATAACAGATTTGTTTACAGAAACAGTAGCACAGAAGGCTTATATAATTGTCAAGTAACTATTTTGACACAATCCTGCAAAGATCCAGGTTAGAATAGGTCCTCAGCAACCCATGTTTGCTGTAAAAGGCGACTATGCTTGTCGTAAGAGGCAACTAACAGGATCAGGCTTGCTGACTTAGTTGATGCATATCATCGTATCCCAAATGCGTGGATATATACGTCATATAGCTGGAATATTGCTGAGTGCAGCATAAAACAACAAACAAAAAATCATTAAAATGTGTTGTAGTTTCAATGACCTTTGAACTAATTTTGGTAACTACCGATTGATCTGACAAATTTAACTCACTGTGTTTGGTTTTGACAGGCATCCCCATTTGTCAATTATCTAAGAGCACAGGGTGCAAATTACGGTGAATACGGTACATCCAAAACATCTCCTATTGCAGTAGTCGCACAGCTGTGAGGTGATATAAGAACAGGAAAAATTGCATGCATAAATATTGCAATCTACTTCACATTTTTAGGTCACACTTATATAGTGGCATGGTTTACATACTTTTATCTAACCAATAAGCTTGGGTCAGTCAAAATAAAATAAATTTGTAATTTTAATTTTCTTTAGATCAGTTTATTGGGACAGGTCCTTTGAGTGGGGAAAAGTACATGTTAATAATGTTTTAAGTGCAGAATGTTTAGAAGCTTTACAGTAACATGTGAATGTAAACTGCTAGGTAAACACCCTGATTTGATGGTGACTAAAAATGAAACAAACAAGAAATGTTTATTCGATGGTAATGTATTTGATACGGGTATCATATTTGTGTTTTGTAAGTTAGCAATGTTTTCGCAACTGTTTTGAACCTAGTAACGTTTTGATAACGTTTATAGTTTTTTATGTCAAATCCAATTTTCAAGTGTATTTCTTTTGCCAAGACAATTTTGTTATGTTTATTAGATGATTGCTCTGGCAAGAGGCAACATACAATGCATTTGGTCAGTTATTATTTAAAAAGATAATTGAAACAAGAATATTTTTTATAATTGATTTTTTTCATTTTTGTAATCCATCAATGATGGGAAAGTGAGGCAAATAAAAATACTTTGGACTATATTTCTAAAACTAATGGGTATTCCTTCAAGCTTCTTTGCACACACAGGTTGTCAAATGGTGCCTTTAACTAGTTTTTTAGATTTTTAGAATTTTTATTTTTGTCTGTTTCCATGCCAACAAGTTTGACTTTGACTCTGTTCATACTGGTGTGTACCTGACATAGAAATACAAAGTTCCAAATCCAAATTACATGGTATTTGTTTGGTAGCTCAATAACTATGTTTGTATGAGGACAGACAGATTTTCTCAGAAATTCTCTCATCAAGTTTGACTTAAAGTAACTGTCGGATGATTTGTTCTTTCAAATTTGGGGAGGGGGGGCTGGAGGGATTTGTCATTTTCTGATGACTTGTTATATATTAGTGCTGAATAAAAGACAAAATATGGTACTCATTATTATCTGATTATGTAAATTTATATATGTATTTTTGTTTATTCAGAATTTCTCACTGCCCAGAGTGTTTAAAATATTTCGAGGTCTCGGTCTGAGGCATCTACTCGTTGTCAGCGACTGCAGCGAAGTAAGTTCAGTTGGAAAAAAGGATAAAAGTGCTTTGAATTGAAACTATTATATGACACCATTAAGTTTGCACTTAGTGAGAACCTTAATGAGGTCCATGATGATGAGATATGTTCATCATTTTACTCTGAATTTTTATACCATAATTAGTTTAACTGAGACGAATTAATTTCCTTGATTTACAGAGTTTCTTGGTCAGAAGTAGGATAATAAAAATATTCATTTGAAAAAAAATCCTAAGGTTGTCTCTTGAAATTAAAGTAAAAACCAAAAACTACATGTTTCAAATTTGTTCAGCATATTTTCAATGAGACACAGCATTTTTATTTATATATTTTTCAATTCGTCAACAATTAGTTTTGCTGAAACAGAAATTGATCTGGGCTCCTTACCACAGAGACTGTAGTGCTATGACTGTCTTAAGCGTATGTTAAAGTATGGGAGTTACGATCACCTTGGTGCTAAAATCACTTTGGGGAACAGAACCCTCGTCTTATAACAATAATAATCAAACGATCAACATATTTTTTCACAGCCTCTAGGGATGGTTACTAGGAAAGATCTGGCAAAATATCGAGCTGAGTCCAAGCATGGGATGCTGAAGATTGAAAATCTGAAGATAGAAGACAACTAGATGCAGATACAAGCTAAATCCTTGGAGTTCCCCTCCAAATGATGCATACATCAAACCAGAGTTACTTCCCTTCCAGTGTAGTATTTCAGAGTTGTCTCCCTTTCATATGTCCCCTTGAATAAATATTCACAGATAAAGATAATATTTATAGCGACTGAATGGACTCTTGTTTCATTTTCATTGAAAACAATCTGCTGTAATAAGAATGTGATATTAGATGTGTGATATATTAAGTGCTGGAAATTACAACAGTGATTTGTATAAGAAGCAAGGAAGTCGATTCTACTGCATTTTTCGTGACAAAATATATGGGGGTCGTTATAAGAACTTCACTTTCAATAGTGCCTAGTCATCATCGATTTAATTCAAATTATTGAGATACATATGGAATGAAATTGGCTATTTGGGTAAGGTTTTCAAGTATCATATACACGTGTGTATTAATTATGCAAGTGTCCGAAATAAACAAATAATATCAGTCCTTCTTTTAGTAATTTAACATTTTTATTTGAAAATTTCATCCTTTGTGGTTGTGATCAGGTTGTTATATAAAAAAAATATAAAAATATTATTTTAAATCCTTTTTAGCGTATGTTCTGGTAACTTTCACAACCATTTCATACTATATATACAACATATGTACTTAAGATTTGCCAAGGACGAAAATAGTCATCTTCAGTCAAAGGTGAGGTTCTTAGCAAATGTTGAGTAGTATATATTGGTATACAGTTCAAAGGTGAGTCAGTATGTTGCACATTTCATTTCCAGAATTAGATCTTCCTGAAATTTTCATAGTTTGTGATATCAATTATGTTTTCTGTTGTCTTGTTATTGTTATGCATTTTTAATTACCTTTGTATATTTACAAGTTGTAATGATAGGCAATTAGATACAGATAAAATATCACAGAAATTGAAAAATGTTTACAGATTTTATAACTCATTCTTGCGTTATTTTATGAAAGTAATTTTGGTATGTACATTGTAGTTTTGATGGTTTATTTAGCAATCTCATTAAAATCAGATCTTAGTTCTCACTACCGCTAAACAAAGATCTGAAGACATCCCATTAGGGGTCACGTCAGACCGACCTTTCATCCGACCAATCAGTGCGTCGCTTCAAGATTATGAAAGTGACAGTCGGAATGTGATTTCTCACCATACAACCTTCGAAAACTTCAATATTGGGTATACCAAACGATAGTTACGGGTTTAACGACTGATTCCTTACAATCTAGACCATCTATTAGCCATTCCAGAATGTTTTTTGTTCAGGTTTCAAATTTTTAATCGGAATTTGTCAAAATATGTTTCGAAGCAAAGTCGCCAATTTGAAATTAGTGCCGTAAAGCGCAAGAAAGCTGCCTTCTGATTGGTCATTCCATTGGTCGGTCAAAGTTCGCGAAAGGTCGGTCTGACGTGACCCGTAATGGGGTGTCCTCAGATCTTTGTTCAGTGGTAGCGAGAACTAGGATCTGATTTTAATGAGATTGGTTTATTTAGTCACTTAATGTTCGAGGTTTGGTGTGGAAATGGAATTGGCTTGAATGTCATGAATCTACTTACTTATACAGAAATTAGTCTCATTTAAATCCCATGCTCTTTCTAAGACTGCTCTACAGGAGGTGTCTGTTATAGTGGGGCAGGGAGGTTGGGCGATGAAGAGAATCCGAGAGAGCCAATGAAGTGTTGATTTATATTCACCCGAACCATTTGATGAAACCTGACAATCCATGTATAGTCTATACAGTCTTTGTAGCCATCGTGATGACATACAGGATCTCCTAGAGGATAAATGTTTCAAGTTGTTCAAAGGACATTGTGAAAACTGATCATGCAAGCTGAACCTCAGATGTCATGTCCTTGCTCATCCTTGATCTTCCAGGGTATGTTTCTCTATCTTAATATCATAAATATCGTGGATCTATTCACCACTAAAACTGACTTCGGTTCAAGAGACATGATGCTATAAATAACCATTCAATCAAATTACACTGTTCGTTCATAAATGAGCGATATCACCAGTTCTTGACTTGACTTGCCACCTCAAATGCAACCGGAGCGTCTTGTCGTATAAGGACTTCCTTGCCCATTCGTCACCAACTCGCCGCTTTCCGTAACCTGCAAGAAGAGTGAGTGAGTGAGTATGGTTTTACGCCGCTTTTAGCTAAAATTCCAGCAATATCACGGTGGGGGGACACCAGAAATGGGCTTCACACATTGTACCCATGTTGGGAATCGAACCCAGGTCTTCGGCATGACGTGCGAGCGCTTTAACCACTAGGCTACCCGATCACCCCACCTGGAAGACTCATCCCCTATCAATGAATGTTATGTGTGAAAATGCAAAAAAACAATCGGAATTCGTGTACTTCAAGTACTTTGTTCAAAGATCCTCAGGAATAATTTTTGATTTTACATATGTCTTTCCTTTAAAAATATACTCATGATAGAGTTAAAAGTGTTCATACTGTATCATACTGTAAGTTTCCAATAGCATCAGGAATATATATGATATTTGGGGGAAATATACGATCATTACGCAACTATTTGACATTTCTTTTAGCTATGCCCATATGTGCTTAGACTGAACCCCAGGTAGCCTAGTGGTTAAAGCAATCGCACATCACGCCGAAGATCCGGGTTCAATTCCCGACATGGGTACAATGTGTGAAGCCCATTTCTGGTGTCTCCCGCTGTGATATTGCTGGAATATTGCTAAAAGCGGCGTAAAACAATACTCACTCACTCACTTAGATGGAACCAAGTCGCAAAACTGGCCACGAGAGGGCACGAGTCACTATTCAGCTTGTCCCGGGATAACTTGAGTTATAGATACTCTCCCATAGATAGTCCTTAACTGATGACTGTATTTACCCAGAGCACTTGGGGGAAAGAGATGGGGGGATGTTCGGACTCTTGTTATGGGTGATTAAGACGGTGACTAACAGATTTGTCTACACGATGGTCAGGAGGCGCTTAATGGAATGCTTAATACAGTGAATGCAGTAACTGATCAGTTGAATTTCACAAATTACTTCTCTACTGAACATAAGTTAGGGATCATGAATATTTTGTTTGTATTTTTTTTTTAAATTGTATGGTCAGTCGTCACTACAAATAAGATATCCCCAATAATATTCATGATCCCTAACAAAAATTGTTCAGTATGTATTGCCAATCCTGACATGTCTGTGGACTTTTTTTACTTTTGGGGTTATTCTAGATATCCAGTGTTCATTCTAAACTTGTTTAAATGTGGGCTGCGGCCAACTGATTGCATGAATATGGTACATTCACAGATCCTAATTGAACGTATCCCTTCAGAAAACCATGCTTGCCGAAAGAGGACTATGCTTGTTGTAAGAGGCGACTAACGGGATCAGGTGGTCAGGCTCGCTGACTTGGATGATGCATGTCATCGTATCCCAATTACGTAGATTGATGCTCATGATATCAATCACTGGATTGTCTGGTCAAGACTCGATTATTTACAGACCGCTGTCATATAGCTGGAATATTGCTGAGTGCGGCGTTAAAAAACAAACAAACAAAAACGTATCCCAGCAAATATAGAGTATGACTTTGAGCTTATCACATTCTTCGTCCCTGTAGAAAGCAAGCTCCTGCTCCTGCTTGTCTGTTCAATGAGTGACTTGGTGTCGAGTTGTAGGAAGAGACAGGTCACTATGGTGTATTTTAATGTGCAGCATTTGGAAAGGACAAGGTGTATGGGCCCTCTTTGGCCCACAGGATGTAAATTATTGTTGAAATTAGCAAGAATTTTACAAATTATGAATGTTTTCTGACATGTGTATGTTGAGGTATCACACTAAATGTATAATATAAGGCTAAATTGTGATGAACTGCTGATTTGGGAGATTTTCGGGAAGAATTTGATAAAATATTTGAACATCTGCAAGTCTTTATCCCAGCAGATATTTTGGATGTTGATAAAGACTTTACAAGCAACCTAAAATTTATTTCCATTCAGCCCAAAAAGGGCCCTTATCCTACCTCGTCCTCAGCAAGAGAGAATGGCACCCGTGCACCTGAGAATGAACTCTGGATAACAGACTAGATTCCTCGTTTCCAGTTGGTGTAAAACATCAGTTTAACTTCCAGTGCTTATAAGACATAACACATTGCAGACAGCCTCGTTGGTTAATCATGTCAAGGTTTGGGGAAGCATTGACAGATTCCTTGGTCATCTTCCTGTAGCCATGTTAGTGAGTATCATACTTGTCATTGTCTCAGTGAGGTGAGGTTAGTGGACTTGTGTCTGTGGAGTTTGATACTTTTTAAAGTTCCCTTTTGGGGCATTTTATTAAATGACAAGATTTAACTAAAATGAATTTATGTCAGTTTGTCACATATCTTAAAGAAGTACTCTTCTCTGTGAAAAAGGCTGGAATGTCTTTTATTTACCTGCAAATGTCATCCAATCAAATGATTGAAAACAGCTCATTGGTCTATTTAGACAGATTGGTTGTCAAATACTGGGCTGTGTTAAACATTGGTGTAAAGAATGCTTGCATATGTTACCAAACCCTTTAAAATCAGATCTTTTATGATTTGATACCTCTTAATGAAGGTCTGAGGACACGTCCATAGAAGGTTGTGTCAGTTGAACCTTGAGTTAACTTTGACCACCCAATCAAAATAAATAATTTTTGTGTTCTTGAGCCAATCAGATGCCAGCTTTCGAAAAGGTACAGCCTCATTTTTTTAAAACTTTGATTCAGAAATTTCATTCTCAACAAAATAATACCGCCACAGAACATAAGTATATCATCATTAATACACCCTTGTTAATACATCCTTTGTGGTGCAGATGCTATGCTCTCAGAATCAAAACGAAGTGTGAAAAATATCCACAACAATATAATAGTGCTGACTTATTAGTTTCTATTCAGAACTCCCCAGTCATGTTCATTTTAAAGATACAGAGTTTGTTCACTCCTACTGAGAACTTTGAAGACATGATAAAGATTACAACGTTCACCTGATGGGAAATATGGAGGTGTCCCCAAGTCATCACACAGAGAGGTGTCGTATTGCAGTAAAAGATCTGGTTTCAGGAGACTGTATGATATATGTAGATGAATAGATTATATCAAGAAGAATTGGAATTACAACGTCACTGTGTTTATGTGTACACCATATTGCAGAAATGTTTTTCCTTTTGGTGTAGAGAGAATTAGATGGTGACATTTATTAATCGCCAAACACGATTCGAGTTTTCATAGTTTAACGTCCATTGCTGTTTAACTTAGAAGTCAGATCGTGTACGTGACTTGACTAAGTGCCAAAGAATATGTTGTTATGTGATCATATTTGAATTCTATTTGAATGTTTGTTGAGCAGTTACTTGTTGATATTTGAATGTGATTTCGTTATCACCCATTTTCATTATGCACAGTTTATGCAGTACTGGCCACTATGCAAGATGACATATCATGGTTTGAAATTATCCTGTGTTGATAGAAATCCAAATGTGATATTCAATTTATTGATTTTCATTGATTGTACATAATCTCATTCAAGTCACCCTGCACTAAGAACTGGATTCAGGTTTAGGGTACCATTGCCCTAAAACAAGCCCCGACCATGAATATATAATTGTTCTGGTACAGATGTCACACCTAAAGCTCAAACTTGTTAACACGAAAACATGGAGCACTCTCTTAGAAATTAGTTTGTATTAATGTTTCAAAAGGCTTACAGGAGACAAAGCTTGAGTCGATTGTCAGTCCCAGCAGGTTTTGTTGTCTACAAACTCTAGTTTTACAGTGAATATATATCTGGCAGGTACAAATTATGCAAACTTAGCCTCATGTTTTTTGTTGGATTACAGATCCACCGACCCTAGAAATTGAAAAATAAAAAATAAACAAAATAAAATCAGATTGTTTTTGGAAACTGCAGATGGTAAAGATTGCTTTGACAACAAAAATGACAATGACATGCCGCTGTCAGATTTTAGATACCAGTATGTAATATTTATAAGCACCCAAACCAGGCCAAGATTTTTTTCACTTTTTATATAACCTGATTGAAATAAAACTTTAGGATGATCACAAAACTCCTGTATAATGCATTTTTTTTTTTACCAAACAACCAAATCAAAATTGGTAAACCAAGAAAAATCTGGCCTTGATGAAACAATATCTCCCTTCATACATGGCAGTGTATGGACTAGACTGTAATGGACTCCAGACCATGTAACCTTGACCTTGAAGGAAAAGGTCGTATAGCTATGGACTTACAGAATGACCTACCAGCTAGGATGAATTATGGATTTTTCCCAATTGAATTAAT